TTGCCAATATTATTGTTAGGGTTCCTTTTTATAATCATACTATAAAGGAGCCCAAGGCCTTGTTCGAATTATAAAGGCCCCTACCTTACGCGTTTAGGGTTTAGGGTTATCGGGGCCTTCTTAGGGCTTAGGGTTCTGGGGGATACTGCGCCGGTCCCGAAGTTCGTCGCACTCTATGTTGTTCACTTACAACAAGCCTGCCCAAGACCCCTTTCCACCGTAGACCTCTACCAGGAACAATAATAGTACTGCAACATACTACAATTATTCTGGGATGATACTTCCTCCTCCCTGTACTCCACGTCTTTAGCGGATGCGACGAAACTTTATTACCGGGCACGCATTCTAGAGGTGAGTCTTCGAGGCTCCTGTCCGAAGCCTAATAGGTGGTCTTGGATATGGGAGTTTCCGAAAATTAGTGGTACCTTATTTTGGGGTCCCTATATTAAGGATCCTATTATTTAGGGTACTATATGAGGGTCCCCTATTTTCGGAAACCCCCATATAGGTTACTACATATGACGAAAGTTCCCTCAAGGAGAAGGAGGAGGATCATCAGGGTTAGTATAGGGGCCTGAAGAGGTGGGACAGGTTTGGGTCATCTTATTGCGGTATAAGTTCTATTTCGGGGGCGATGAGGTTTAGGGTTTAGGGTAAAGGTGGGCAGGTGGCAAAATGATTCGCCTTAAACTACCGGAGCTTGCCAGTTGAGGTTCTGAGCACAGAGAAATTACGCAACAGGCTGCTAAAGCCAATGCGAAACCGGGGTTTAGAAAGCAAGGATGCTAATGTTCAACCGCATGACCGCCGGAACAGATCCTGTAGTTGTAAGTAAGAACTTTCGAAACCCTAGACCCTAAACCCTAAACCCTAAGCCCTAAGCCCTAAACCCTAAACCCTAAGCCCTAAACCCTAAACCCCTCGTGTGAGGAGCGGCATGAAGGACTTGTTTGTCGACATCAGCAGGATGGCCGCATTCTCCACGACGGGCTTCGTGTCTGCATCCTCAAAGCTGTGTGGGTCTAAGTTTAGGGTTTGGGGTTCAGGGTTTTTGAGGCTTTAGGGTCTAGGGTTTAGGGTTTAGGGTTAGTTGAAGTTTAGGGTTCAGGGTTTTTGAGGCTTTAGGGTTTAGGGTTTAGGGTTAGTTGAAGTTTAGGGTTTAGGGTTTTTGAGGCTTTAGGGTTTAGGTCCAAAGTTTAGGGTTCAGGTTTCGGGGTTTGGGGCGGCTTAATGTAGGGTCAGCATACTCTACCTTGGGGCCCTCCAAAGTATCTACGGTCTTAAACCCAACAAAAGTCCTAGTTTTACTTCATTTTGTGCTGTTTTCTTCTAGGATTTTGGGGAACCCTAAACCCCATGAGTTAAAGTTGTGTGGGTTTCCTCTAGGGTTTTGGGGAACCCTAAACCCTAAACCCTAAACCCTAAACCCTAAACCCTAAACCCTAAACCCTAAACCCTAAACCCTATGGGGGCCTAGGGGCCTAGGGGTTGGAGCTTTGAGGGTCTTGCGGTTTAGGGATCTTGCGTTTAGGGTGTGTGGGATTAGAGGGTTTAGGATTACTGGTCTTAGGTTTAGGATTCCGGTGTAATTGCGAAGATTCGCCAACGCACGCCCGAAGGCATGTAAACAGTGTTAAGGCACAAAGAACCAGACACTGAACCCCAAATTATCCTAAATTTCCAGGGCTTAAGCCTTAATACCCCAACGCCCTAAGTCTTAATTCGCAAACTATCAATAGGAAGTATCTTGCCTGCTGGCCCTTTTGAGTTTCTTGCATGCTCTGTAACCTTCAGTCCCTAAGCCCTCTTTAAACCCCAGGCCCTAATTCCTAAACCCGCTTTAAACCCCAAGCCCTTAAGCCTCTTGAAGCCACGCCCGCGAAAAACCCTAAGCCCGGGGTCTAGGGGTTTAGCCTTTAGGGTCTTATGGTTTAGGGATGTAGTGGTTAGGGTTTAGAGTTTAGCATCAGAACCCGACGCCCTGAAAATTCGCACACCTTAGTGTGAAGATCTGGCTTGCAGTCTTCATATTCATACATGTACATAAACACACACTAATATATATATATATATATACATACATACATACATACATACATACATACATACTTGCATACATAACATGTGTGTATACATATATATATATATATATATACATATATATATATAGATTATCTGCAGCCCTATATATAGTCTATGTGATTGATAGGCACTTCTATCGTACCGAGGCTATGTGCTTGGCGGTGGACATCTGGGAGCAATGCTGGGTTTTGCGACCGCGTGCGTCAAGGCGGTGCAATGATGCAGCTGTGTACCGCGAAGGCTTGTCTGCCTCGGTCTAGGGTTTAAGCTACGGCCTGCGAACGTAAACAGTCGGTTGTCTGTAGAGGATGAAGGCTTAGCCTTCAACCTGCACCCCTTAACCCTCAAACCCTACTCTCAAAACCCTAAGCCCGAATGCCCAAACCCAAAACGAAAATAAGCTGAACCCTAGCTATCTCTAAGCCATGTAAGTTCTTCTTATTCTCAAAGTCCTCCCAATGGGACGCAAGAGAGGGATCTCTTGCGAGATGCAGCAGCAAAGATTTCAACCTCCTGCCTTGTTTCACATGATATTCCCTGGGCATGAGGTTTCGCCTTCATAGGATATTAGAATCGGCCCAAACTTGTGATGGCTCAGAAAGTACGGTTCTTGCCACTCCCAGATCACAGGGTTTTCGTACTTTGGATTGATAGGATACGATCACCTTTGTCATGCGGTTCTAGTCACTGCCACTGCTGTTGGAGCTGCCTCTGGTACCATCTCGTGTTGCGGCTGGTGCGACGACGAGGGCTACGACGACGACTGCTGCTACGGCGAGGACGACCGCGACTGCGACGACCACTGCTACTACGACGACGACGACGACGGCGACCACTAATACCGCTACTGCCAAGCACCACCGCTTTTGCTACTGCTACCACGACTGCGTCTTTGACAGCGACTTCTCCTACTACTACTACTCCTCCTCCTACTGC